GACACATCGCGCTCAGGTCGGTGATATTGTTCTTCTCACTTATTGGGAGCGTCGTGGCAGCCCGGGCCTTGGATTATTGCAGTTCAAGCTTCCACAGTAGCCTTCTCCTTGCTTGGGATGAGCGGAGCCTGTCCTGCAAGACCAAGGCACGGATGTGGCTGTCCAAGGACTTTCATGCCACATGTCGTCTTTGAGTGTGGGCGGCGGAGATTGCAAAACTGTCAGAAACATGACACGGAGTCTTTTGTAGAAGCTCAAGCAGGTCTTCATGACTTTATGCTACGTCACACCAGTTACCAGGAAGTTTACGACGATCGAAACACCAGTTTCACATCCATAAACGAGACCAAGGCGCCGCGGGGAGTCTGTGCATCGAAGCTTCGCAAACAAACCGCCAGCCAAAGCCCAGAGCAAGATCCTGCTGCAGTAGGCCCAAACTTTAAAAGTAACACGAGGCCCCGGTCGTCGCTGAGGATCGCATGCACTTGATTGAGACTGTGCCGGTACCGACATGTGTATTGAATATGATATCATGACCGTTTCCATACTGTACTACACATAATGTATAGTATATATATATATATATATATATAGTATGTGCGAGCAAAATGTCCAAGATGACGCAGCGTTGCACCATGCTGCAGCATGGCATACATCAGCGGTAACTCTTGCCGCATCTGAACCCCGGACAGGGACGCCTCTCCCTTCATACCGAGCCCGGGGAGGCGCTTCAAAATTCGTTATGGCACATGAGTTGAGGGTATTCACTACTGTAGGCGTTTGGGATCTAGAGGGTTCGCTTCCTTTTGCACTGAAGCGGTCTCGGGTTCAGCTTTTGAGTGGAGTTTTTCTCACATTTAAGACTTGGACTTGTGAAAGGCTGTGAACAGACAGAGGTGAGGTCGGGCTCTAGGTTTCGGGCTTTGGGGTTGGCTGCACCGCCCAGGCGGATTCGAATCAGAGACGGCATGCTTGTGTCATAATATGCCGAGAGTAGAAAGTGGGATGCATGGCAAATAGATTTGTCACATCACCGAAGTCTGCTTTGCAAGTGCGATAAAGGGAACAGCAAACTCCCGAAACACGAGCACCTCTGAACTTCTCCACAGAACCACGCAACCGGTCTATCAACCCCCAGCTTTTCCGGCGCTTGCTTCAGTCTTCAAGCTCAAGATCTTGGAGTGGTTTTCTAGGTCCCGTTTCCCGGCTGCGGGATGTCGGATTGCAGAGATTTCCCAGAAGGAAGGCAGCTCCTTGCATCACCTCCCGATCCCATCCACAAATGTTCGCGTGCCAGGTGCCAAACGCCCTGAGCCCCACCCGCTCTGCGGATGGTGGGTCGGCGCCCGGCGATGCTGGGGACCCTGGCCAGGCTGTTCATGGAAATATCTGGAGTTTGCTGTTGGGGCATCGAAGCATTGATACAGGAGACGTGGGCAGAACGGTGGCTGGGGCTTCTTTTCTGGGTGAGGAAAGCTGAGAAAGTTGCTTGGATCCATTCGCGGTGAACGTGATCAACCCAGGCAAGCGGTAGCATCGGAAATCTAGTGGCGCACATGAGTTTCCAACGGATGAGGTCGTGCAGGAGCCGAGCATAGAGTCTACATTGAGATTTGCGTTTGCGGTTGAATTGAAGAGGAGCTTCATCCATTTCCAGGGTATGGAGAACACAAAACATGCTTAAGTACATGCACAGAAGCTGCTCTAGTTCCATTTCATCACGATGCCTGGGAGGAGCCATGCCGACAACGTTGGAATGCAGAAAATACTGTCTATTTACGACAATACGCTACTGTACTGTGGCACGATCCGGATTAGTGGGGTTGCCAGGTTATCTCACGATTTGCTGGCCTGCCACAAGCATGGTCATTCCCGTACCCAAGACAGAGAAGGCCGCTAAGGCTCCAAACAGCCCAATGTAGGTAGCATTTATAGAGTTTAGACACCAAAGCAGGTACTATTTGCATACTTGGAGTCTTTGGGGGCCCACGACGTCAGCAGTTTTTACCAGGTCTGCCATCTGGATGGTGATCAGCAGCCGACTCATGTCTCATGATCTTCTGAGAATGGATGGCTGAGGTTTGGGGTCTCAAAGACGATGTTAGAGAGCGGAGTTTCACGTTTTTGCTGGTTTTGCCCAAGGGCGTTTCGTGCCACGAGCCGGCATGATGCGGCATGCACTCAAGGCGCTGAGCAAAACAGTCTTGCCAGTCCACCGTCTCACCTGGGAGATTTTGCACTGCCAATCCTTTCATTGAGTGGAGCTAGTGGAGGTCGTGGCAGTGAGAGTATGTGGAGTCATGGGATTCGTCACTTGATGCTGCCGCCGCGGCTGCGGTGGAATAGCAATAGCTGCAGAATTGGCGGCGGTTGTAGTTGCAAAATCCTGATTCGTCATAGGTTTTGTTGTTGGGGGGCGGCGGTGCTGGCAGCGTTAGTCCTGCCGTTGCCGTTGCTGTTGCTGCTGTTGTTGTTGTTGGTGGTGGTGGTGGTGGTGTTGGTGTTCTTATCATTCTTGTCAATTACTCTTCTTCTTCTTCTTCTTCTTGGTGGTCGTGGTGCAGTCGATGTTGACGCTGTTGTTCTTGCCGTCGCTGTTGTGGTTGGGTGTCGGCGTGTCCCCCCCCCTGCGAAGGGTGTGCGGATTTCTGGTTTGCGCTGTGCCAAGACTTGTGTTCTAGATGATTTTCATGCGTGGATTTCGTCTCGTTTGTTTTTACAGTGTTGCCGGCGTGCTTTTAAACTTTCGAGAAACTCCAGTATTTTCGCGTCGGACTGCGTTTGGCATCGGTATGTGTGGAGCGTCTTTCGTGCCAGTTCGGTTCCTGTTTTCGCTTAAAAGTCCGTTACGATTTTGTCTTCGAGGTACTTTTGGCGTTTCCTGCGTGACTGGAAAAAAGCTTATTTATCCTTTTTGTATCTTCCGTGTCGCGCAGGGTGCAGTGATGAAGTCCATGGCAGTGACAGTGTGGATGATGTATGCAACGTTTGTGTTTTCGCTTCAGTGCGGGGGTGGGCGGCGAGACGGGGACTGGATTTGGAGCCTTCTCGCGGCGACCGCGTCAGTTCTTGCTGTGTATATACTCCAGATGTGATATGTTTTCCTTCCTTTGCCAATAATAATTAACGTTGAAGTGAAAATGAAGATTGCAACGATGAGATGATGGTAATGATGATGACGGTGATGGTGGTGATTGTGGTTGCGTTGCTGAGCTGGATGCTACCCTGAGACTGCAGCCGCAAGCATGGCGTGTTGAAAGCCTCTTTGAAACCTGGGCCTGCTGGTTCACAGTTACAGCGCTTGGAGTTTTTCGGTGACCGGGTCCTCGATTTGGCCATCTCGCAGCAGGCGATGGCTGTGAACGTCGCAGAAGTTTCGATGCAGGAGCTGGTGAAAGTAATCGGCAGCAACGAGAACCTCGCCAATGTTTGTTGACTCCTTGATCCCGGGGTGGGGGCCGCATGGTGGCCGTTACCGCGAACCCTCAATTCCTTCAAACATCTCCTGGAGCACAAAATCGGCGCGCGGCCAGGGTAGGCTCAGTGGCACCGTCACCGGGTCACGGGCTACACCGGGGGTGTGTGTTGGAGTGCAAGCACGCCCCAGGCTTCGTTGCTTCTGTTTTCTTGCTGTTTGCTGCCGGAGCGCCGGAGTGGCTGGAGCGCCAGCATGTCCCTTGCATTTACTGTTAGGCAATGAAGCTTTCGGAGTTTGGGGCGCGCGGCCGGCTTGAACTCCAAGTGCTAGGCTAGACCCTGTTCGTGCAGGCACCGCTAGTACTCGATCATTCATATCTTGTGATTGCTCGAACCTGCTGCCATTGTGGGGCTCTGAAGACGGCGCCCCTGTGACGGGCGTCCCCACGCAGCGCTCGGCCCGCAGGGAGCCCAGAAATGTTGCCCATCCCCTTCCCCCACAGTCTTCAGCTAAGGATCCCCAACGATGTAAAAGTTGCAAAGTTTACTTAGGGATTCAGGGTGCATGTAGATGTCTGTCTCATGTCCAGCATCGTTAGATGCCGCAGCGCTGAGGCCACTGCAAGCGTGAAGCTTCCTTGATGGCGGGGGTGATGATTCTTTTGCTGTACTTGGTGTGTTCGTCTGTGGTGGTCACAGCAAGGTGTTGGTGCCGTTGGAGCCTGTTTACTGATGACAGCACACTCACATGGCTTTGGGCGGTTGCGCTGTAGCGCACCTCAGGGCGATGCCCACGACAGAACAGCCTACAAGCCTCCGGAGGATCCATTCCAGCTTCCTGGTTTCGTACATCTAACCCAAAACGCCATACAGTCTATAACCCGGTGGTAAGGCCCTTAGACGCTAAAGCTGCATACCCCGAAGCAGAAGTTTTCGAACTTTTGCGTGCCGAGCCCCTCAACACTCGACCCAACAAAAAACGCTAAACTTCACTCAACCGTCATCTGTCTTCATCCTCATAATCCAACATCTCCGCCGAGGTTTTAGAGACAGGGCCAGGGCCGCCACCTCAGGAAGCTTTGCGCGACTGATGAGGTTCTGTCCATAAGCAGCAGGGCCTCAGCGGTACGGCGTATGGGCTGGGTGCAAGTATTGGGAACGACAAGCACAAGAGAATCTGGATCGTGGTTAAGCGAAATTCATCTCAGCGGTGCATAGTTGCAAATGTCCGGTTGGACGACGACTGCTGCCACGACGATGACCATTGCTACTACTGCGGCTACCACGACTTCTGCTGCAGCAGCAACAGCAACAACTACATGCATCTATACAAAACGACGACGACTACTACGACTACTACTGTACTACTGTCGCCGGTATTCGCAGGTAGAATTTTGTTCGGCTCAGCATTGCAGAAGTGCTTAAGGAGAGCAGCTGCGAACGTTTTTCCGAGCATCAAGCGCATTCTTCGGTCATACGGCCATTAACTGGAAGGTTGACATGGTTTCAACACGGTGAGTTCACATGCAGTTTCGTGAGACGTGCAATGAGGTGGGGAGAAGTGTGTACATAGTCACGTCGAGATGACAGCCCTTCCAGATGACATGGCCGAAAGCTCAGCATAACCGACTCAGGGTGAAGTATCTGGCGAGTGCGCTTCAAGCCCGTTGTGCAAAATTGCGGCTGTTCTGCCACCCGAAGCTCGACGATAAGAGATGAATTCCCTCTCATTGCACCAACTCCAGCCTGCAGTGCAGGCTGCTAGGGAGATGTTCTGAACTTGATGCAAGCACCAGTCGAGAGCAGTGGCAGCTGGTTTTTACAGGTTATTGAATTCCCATTCGATAAGTGTCCAGAGCAGCACGTGTTCAGGTTTCTCTCTTCTTTTTTGTGTGTATGCGTTGTTTGGCCCCTGGCTCTCTCTCTCTCTCTCTCTCTCTCTCTCTCTCTCTCTCTCTCTCGCTCCCCATCTTCTTGGCTATATACGTATATACACCTGTGCGCATATAACTGCTCAGCATACAGTTGCATATGCTCACCTTTACATGCGCGTATGCGCATGTGTACACCTATACATATACAGATACATACATGCAGGTATGCGCACATACGTGCATACATACATGTGTACTTCCATAAATCCGTACTGTGCCACAATACATACATGCATTCATACATACATACATACATACATACATACTTACCTACACACATGCAGACATACGTACATACATATGTACGTACTTACATACACACGTGCACACATGCATACATGCATGCATACATCAAACACGCACACACCTGCACCCACACGCACACACACACACAGACATCCTTTTTTCGTGCAAGAAGCTGGATAAACAAGGCAAGTAAAGAAGTAGTCTCTACATATATATATATATATATGTATACATTTGTATGTATACGGTTGGTAGCTGTATACTGTTGCGCAGGCTGTGTGAGTGTATTCATGCAGGCATGTGTGTGTGTGTGTGTATATATACACAGTTACACATGTATGTGTGTGTGTAAAATGCATGGATGGATGGAAGGATGGATGGATCCATGGTGGACGGACGATGTATGTATGTATGTATGTATGCATGCATGTATGTATGTATGTGTGTATGTCCTTACGCATTCATGTATGTATGCATGCACATATTTTCCTATATATACACACACATTGACACACAAACACACACACACACACACAGAGCACATGTCGGCTCGCATAGGTTTGTACACACCATGCCGTGCAAGTGCCTAAAGAGATAGTCCCAGTTATACAGCAAATGTTTGTACACATGTTTGTATATGTGCGTATGCAGAATTATTTATATATATATATATATACAGATATTACACAGAGGTATATACATACACAGCTTTCGTTTGCTTGCACGTGCTAGCTCTCCCGCGACGTACACATGAGTTAAGAAATCGTCCTGGCTTGGGAAGGCTTTCGGGATCCTTGCAGATGTTGTAGGGTGCTCCCAGCAACTAGCTTGAACTGCGATGTCTGTGCTCGCGAGATGGCTTGCAAAGATTTGTAGTGTGCTTTCTTCTCACCTTTTGATACTGTTTTAGCCTCGAGGAGTGGTGCTGAATGTATTGCAGCGGCTATCTTCTCATCTTCTTGTGCATGTTTTTTCTTCGTGGCCCGTGTCGCACGCTTGCTGAACAGGTTGCCTCCGACCTCACCTCGGCCATTGTGCTGGCTGGCGTGAGACATGAGGAGCTGCAGCTTCGTGGCGTAACGCTCTTTGCGAAACTTCTGCCAAAGTAGCACTCGGAGAAGGCAGGCACAACTTGCCCAAAATTCACAATCTCCACAGAATGCAGACTACAGGTTCTAGCTCTAGCTGCTGGAAGGAGACAATCGCTGCCTTCGATGACGGCCCCAAGCGACGGTCGAGATGGTCGGAGTGCAAAGCCAGCCCCCTACTGGGAACCTTTCCAATCTCGCGGGAGCCTCGCAGGAAGGAACCAATTGTTGGACGGGGAATGTTGAACCTTCGATTGATGATTCCTGTAGGCGTGCTACTTGTCGGCGAACTTGTTGATTGCTTAGGGCTCTCATGCTTTAGAGCTTAGGCTGATCTTGAATATTATCCATGAGAATATCTCGTTGAGATGCAGGTAGCAAAAAAGGGCAAGCGATGGGGCCTGCCTGACGACAAGCCGTGCGCCAGATCAGTGCTTAGGCTTCTGTAGACGTTCAGTGGAGACTGTACTTTGCAATCAGGGCATCTACTCTTGCGTTCTCGTACATCCCCCTTCCACCTGTGGAGGTTGGAGGTGCAAGCGAATGAATGCAAGTGTAGATTGTAATGATTGGTCAGGAGTGGGTTGCGATTGACAAGCGAATTTAGCGTAAAGCTATTTCCAGGTACAAACCATTGAGCTATGTGGATTTGCCAATGGGACTCTCTGAAAAGGTGCGCCGCCTGTGCATTTCATGAGGCGAAGCATGGCAGGGCTTCCAGGATTCCAGGAAGTCAGGGGCGATTCTTTCACGACTTCGCATCTCGGATTGGTAGCAGAGCTTGCGACAACGGTAGGGCCTCGGCCTGAATGTGACCGTGCAGATGGACATGAGCCGAGTCCAGCACGTCCCGACCTGAAAAGTCAAGCCTTCCTTGCTCCGTTCATAACAGTTGTCTTCCTGAGAAGGAGCTCCCGAATCCTATACATCCCTCGAGGTTGATTCCTAGACACGCTGTAGTCCTGGACTCTGAATGCTTCCAAGCTGCTACTCTTATCTCTTACAGCCACTAGCAGCGTCGGCCTCCAAAGCCATAGCAGCATTCTCGATTCTTCCTTCGTTGACAGTTCTCCGTCCTCTCGCGACCCAAAGCATTCATCCCAATAGTAGCGAAATCAGCCGCAGGAGATCGACCAGTTTCTCCGAGAACAGCGATTAGAAGATCTCCACAGAAAAATCCAGGCCTGTAATGTATGAGGGCTTGCGAGGACTGTGGAGTTTCGGATTCGAGAAGGGAGTCGAGGTGCTGCTGGTACTGCCGAGTACGGCGAAGCGCAAGTGAAGCTGTTCTGCTGGTGACTGTGCCTCCTGCTGTCCGAGCAGTTGCTGCTGCAGAGTTCAAAGGATATAGTTCAGGTGTTCTGGCGATGCAACTCCCCTCATGATTCCTATTGGCCCTTGATGCAAAACACACCTGAAGCCAACACAAACCAAACCAACTAACTTTGTTCTGGTGCCGACTGGTGCCGACCGCCCCCAAATGGACGGGACACCTCTGTGAGCCCCTCATAGTAAAAGGAGGGGCAACCAAAATCAACATGAGAGTGGAAGCGAGGCCATTTGCAAAAACTTGTGGCAATACAAGCCAACACAAAGCGAGGCTCACGAGCTTGAAGATGTAGATCCTGACATCCGGCCCGAGCCTTGCAGTTTGCGCACTTCAAGGCCTCAGGGCTCTCTGGCACTGCACACGTCTGCGGCTGCTGGGTGGCTTTGCGTGGCGTGTGTTCAAAAGTGTGTGCGTGTGTGCGTGCACGCGAGCGTGCACGTACGTGTGTCTGCCGCTGTTTCTGCAGTGTTTCTGCTGCAATCAGCCCAGGCCGCCGTCGCCGCCTCCTGTGTACGACAAGGGCGGCAACCGCCTGAACACGCGGGATGTCCGAATCAGGTGCTGCGAGCTGGGTTTTCTGATCCTGGTCGGACTTCGATGTTTATGGTTGCGGGTCCTGTCAGATGATGCGCAACTTACAACAGACCAAAGCATCCCCCATCCTTCGAACTTCAGCATGGTCATCGGCATAGGTAACTGCCGCTATATATGAGGGGGGCAATGCAGCTGGCCTTGAACGGTGAGATGACACGGAAGCTCTTCAAGTATGCTGGGGCTCGATGTCGCTTTAGCCGCTGCATGGCAGAAACAATCCCTCACCTGCATTACCAGCATGCTCTGAACAAACACACACCGAGATACAGATATATATAGAGATGGATATGCAATATGATAATTAAACACACACACACACACATGCGCAGCGAGATTGATGTGCCTATAGAGAAATGGAAATAGATGTATCCTTCTTTCCTGGCACTTAGCTGAAGCAGGAAAGGCATGACTGCCGAGTACAACAGACTGATTCGGCCGCTGCCCCAGCTAGAAGCACGTGAACCGAGGCTATTCCCTGAACTCCGAAGGAGCATAGGGGGCCAGCCTCGGCCAGCTCCAAAATGTCGAGCATCACTGGCCTGTGGACATCGATGCCCCACCACATTGCCCTCGCAATACGAAGTAGTTCGAGTACATGGGGTGGCCACGACGAACCCGACCCACCTCTCCCACTTCATTTGTGAACTAGAGCACAGGTATTGTATTGTGATGGAGCATCGAGTCTCAGGTACATGATCAAACACGTTGACGGCTACCTGCCGCCTGTTGATTGGAAACCTGCGAAGTTGATGAAGAAGATCATCATCCCCATCGAGCCTCAGAAAGATTTGTTCCAAGCTTGGGCTTTTATACTAGTAGCTGCCAGGATCTAAGGGCTGTGTGGAGTTCAGGAGTTGATGGATAGCTTTAACAAGCAGGACATGAATGACACAAGGCTGAAACTCAAGCTTGTAGCTTAAAATTACATGTCGCCTTTCTCGCCTGTCCGTCTGACATACTGTCGAAACTCATGAGAGACCCAAACTGCTAGAGATCACGCCACGCAGCCTGCATCCCAGGAGAAGTTTCCTCAGGCCAGGTGGTTTGTTGCTTCCTGCAGTCTTATTGGGCTTCAAGGACACCTTAGAGATCCGAGCTCACTTCTGATTTACGTTGCGGCTGCTTTCGTCGCGGTGGCGAATGACTTTGTTTGTGCAGGCTCCCTTCATGGGCGTCATTATCGGACCTCGTGGTGTCAACCACAAAAGGCTACAGGACCTCGGAGCTCCATGTGTTTCGGGCACATTGAGGGGCCTTGATTGCTGTCTTCGAGCCATTTGCTACGGCTAACACAAGGCGTTACTTCTTTTGAAGGGCAATGCGTGCAGTGCCAAACCTTCGTAGTCTACTTGATGTGGACTTCGTGTCGCCATTGGCATCTGTGAAGCTGAGGACACGACCGGCTGCAAGATCTTCATCCGTGGCCGAGATATCGGCACGCCCTTGCTCATGCTGGCAACTTTCACCGGAAGCGCGTAAAGCCAAAGTAGACCATACCTGCTCAGAGCCCTGATCTGATCTACTTCCAGAATCCGGGAGGCCTCAAACGAACCGGATGCCGAAGATGAAGAAAGCAGCATAAGCGCCTAGTTGCGAACATGCCGTCGGTGAGGTTGACCGTGTTGCTGTTGCAGGCGACAAGTGGCAAACAGATGAAGAGGCAGCAATGCCGCAGCATGTCCAGACCTCAAATGGAGAAGGGCAACAATATTGAGAGCTGCACGGTGCAGATGGGCATGGCATCAGAATGAGGCCGTGCGAAGGGAATGGATGAAGCAGCGTTGCTAATCATACGCCTAGTGCAAGCTGTTTTTGCTCTTTGATGAAGGCGGGATCTCGACCGGTAGAACTCCTTAGGCATAAGATTCAACAACAACAACAACAACAACAACAACAACAACAACAACAACAACAACAACAACAACAACAACAACAACAACAACAACAACAACAACAACAACAACAACAACAACAACAACACCACCACCACCACCACCACCAACAACAACAACAACAACAACAACAACAACAACAACAACAACAACAACAACAACTACTACTACTACTACTACTCCTACTACTACTACTACTACTACTACTACGACCATTCCGCCCAGGTACACATTGAGGGTGAGACGGAGGAGCAGCAAAGGGCACGGAATCTTTGTCTTCACAAAGACTTCAGCAAACTTCACGGTCTGCTCAGGGTCCCCGTCAGCTGCAGCACTAAATACCCAGCCTCGCCTCAAAGCATGCTAGAGGTGTCTCTATGCCTCGTGCTAGCTTCGCACTCGTAGAAAGCATTGATTGCGAGAAAGGTTCATAGTAGTTTCCGTACACGGCTTGGTTGCCGCTCCTTTCACCATCGCAGCTTGCTTAGCAGCTTCCATGGACGAATACCAAGAGAGCACGGGGGGACCTGAAGTGGTCGTTGATGCCAAAAATCCTAGTGATAGAACAGCATTCTACAAGTAGCTCCTGCGTGATCGTAGCAGAGTCATATGTCCAGCATGTCTTAGCTTATTCACAGTACCTTTGCTGGCAATGCCGTGCCGTGTGGGTGTGGTGGGAGCCGGCCCACTCGTCGGCCGTGCACACTGCGCCTCGTCGCCTCCAGCTTAAGCTCGAGGGAGCAGTCCTGGGGCTTACGCAGCCCAGTCGGGAATGATTTTAGCCGACAAGAACGTCCAATCATCAACTGCATCATAGCCACCACGACGGCTACCCTCACGCAGCTACGGCTACTTCTGGTGGTAGTAGTAGTAGTAGTAGTAGTAGTAGTAGTAGTAGGAGTAGTAGGCGTAGTAGGAGTAGTAGGAGTAGTAGGAGTAGTAGGAGTAGTAGTAGTAGTAGTAGTAGTAGTAGTAGTAGTAGTAGTAGTAGTAGTAGTAGTAGTAGTAGTAGTAGTAGTAGTAGTAGTTCTTGATGTTGTGACAACTGTAAACTGTAGGAGTGACAGCATCGTCGCCGTGGTGTTTTCAAATCCGTAATTTCGTAAAGGGCTGAATTGCACCTTCCCGAGCAATGCTCATAGCCCGCTACAGGGTGCCTTGAGGCTTCCAACAGGGTGCACTGAGAGATTAGAGGATGGATTTGGGGTTCAGCGATCTGGATACGTTCCCGTTGCCGGGCTATTTGCGTGTCCTCGTATCAGAGCCTCTGAACTGCGCCATCACTGTAGTGAGCTCCACGGTTCAAACAGAGGGCTGGAGTTTCACATAATTTCAGGTTGAACCTGTCCTGGCTGAATCTCAAGCATTTGAGGTCTACTTCTCAAGCGCCTGGCTGCAGACGATGATGTGCTTCGTCGCTGGAAGGGGCAGGGGACCGGGGGTTTGTCAGTCATCTGGGTGTGTTCAACTTTCCATTGCATGAGCCTTAGCCCTCAGCTTTATAAGCAGAAGCGTTGCGCAGGTCTCCTGGTAGCGCTATCGCCTCCTTCGTTCTTCGCCTTGCTTGTTGTTGCGCATGTACATGTTTTTCTTGTTGGCCGCAGATGTGCCTTCTGTTGTTGTGCTTGCCGTGGTTGCGATAGCCCTGCAGGGGGTGGGATTCAGGACCCGACACCAAAGAATCCAAGGGCACACTCGTTTCAGTTACATGTACTTGGCTTTGGGAGCTGACCTGAAGCTATGTCCCCTGGGCATGGACACCATGTGTATGTGTGTGTGTGTGGGGAAAACCCGTACCCAAGGAAGGATAGTCAAGTTTTGTGTGGTAGCCAGTGAATGACCAAGAAGAGATGACTCACAATGTAAAAATGCAGGGGGGTGCCGCACACCTGAAGAGAAGGCATCTAACAAAGAGGCCCTTCAGAGCGTGCTGATATGGTTCTGGGACGCTGGAGCCACGTACCTGCAGTGTTTCACTGCGGATTGCCTAGAGATGAGAGTTCTGAGTCCACCAACTTCAGTTTTCCCTTGTAAATGCAGATAAATCCTCTTTGGAGCAGATATGAAGGACGAAAGTCAAGAAGAAGAGGCCAAGATCAAGCAAGCTGGAGAAAACATGAACATCGACAACCAGGGCAGATCCCTGACATGTGTGTGTGTGTGTGTCTTCACTCCGCCATGTCCGGTGAACCAGCCGTCGATGATGCATTGCGGAAGCAGGGCTGTCATAGAGCGGAACCGAAACCGAAGCGAAGCACGACGAGGAAGCATAATACACATTGCCCCTTGTTTTGTAAACTCATTCCTGTGACCAGAGCCTGGACGCTTGCAGTAAGCCTTACAGAGTCTGTAAGCTTTGCACGCTCCATAGCCCCCAACTCCAAGGTAGAGCTGGCCTGCATCTGTCAGCGGCGTGCAGATGATACGGCCCTGGCCGAGCAGCTGCAAGTGCCACTGTACGTTGACGCGAAGGCGAGAATGTGTGTGCACATGCTCTTCTGTATGTATATATATATATATACACATGTATATACAGACATGTACGTACACAAACATGCATATTGATATTTTTGATGTGCATAGACGCATAGTTACTCCAGGCTGCAGCAGCTCGTTTAGTTGTTGCTTCATTTGTGTAGTAATCTACTTCGATCTACTTTCTGTCTTTGTACATGTGATCGTAATTGAACTGGTTGTATAGTATAGTATATTACATAGGTACATGTGCATGTGCATGTTCACGTATATGCACAGGCCCGTACAGAGCATCGGGATATGTATGTATATATATATATATGTATGTATGTATGTATGTATGTATACACACATACAATACATGCATGCATACATGCATGCATGCGCGAATGGCTATGTGTGGCCATGTATGTATGTGTATCTAAATGACTCTTCATATGTCTTGTGAACATCGTGTATGGATGCGTTTACGTAAAACTCTGTATATGCATGAATATGTACAGATGCATACGTATATGTGTGGCAGCTCATGTACTGAAAGCGCACATGTTAGCGGCATCAGCTATTTTGTGCTATACTCTTCGGTTTCATAGCGTGCCGGGTGACGACCTTTGCCTCCAGAGCGCCTTTAGCTTCAGGAATCCTTTTCGGGACGTGCTCTGCAACGCCAGACCGACCACCACAGCTCCGCCAAACCAGTTTGGTCTAGTGGCCGCATCCAACCTCCACTGCGCAAACCTGTCCTCTGACTTCTTTTTCCACGACAGGAGATGGCGTGCCAGGAGGCCCTTGACGGAGTCGTCATCGCCGCGCCAACTCACCTCCACTTGGCGTTAACGCAGGCGGCTTCTTTGGCCCAGCGCAAAACTGCTTTGAGGTGCATGTACTGAGAGAGTGAAAGTTGTACCGCACCCTACTGTCACGAGAGCGGGCCAGGTACAACAGCATAAACAGCCGACAGAAGGATTTCATGACAGCCCGACCAGCAGAGCTTCTTATGCGGCAATGGCTATCTGAAACCGGCACACTTCTTTGTTGTCGGACCATTGTCGGATCGGGGTCATGGCTGCAAGATTAACCCTAAGGCCCTACGGACAGTCCTTAAGCCTGAAGCCCTGTGTCATCGTCCTGATACCGCAAATCCTGCAACCTGAAGCCCTCAGTCCCTGGGAAAGCGTCAAGCCATGCCAACCCCCCTGCGCTCTGAAGCCGCAGCACTGAACCCTCAACCCCACGACAGCGGAATCAACCTTAAACTGATTTCATTTCGCCAAGAGGCCTGCATCGAAGGCACAAAGCTTCGCAGGGAAGAAGGCCGAGGCACAGATGTGATACGGCTTCGGTTTCGTGAGCATGCCTGCTGACGGTTATATGCCTTGCTAAGACCAGCTTTATTGATTCGACGTGTATATGTACAGTGAATATATGTATACATGTCACATGTCGATGTATGCATATGTCTGTACATGCATGGGTTCACATTACGCTTTGGACAACATTCCATACTTCTAATGATGATGATAAAGACACTGCGTGCATAATTTGCACACGTCTGCGGGTATGTATGCATGTATGTATGGATGTATGTATACATTGTATATATATATATATATGTATATGTATGTATATGTATGTATGTATATATGTATATGTATATGTATGTATGTATGTATGTATGTATGGGCTCTGTTGCATCATACCCATTTCCGATCATGCATTGCAATTATTGTCGAGCTTTATCCCTACATGTTCGCCATTAAGACTTTGGGTATTGCACCTACTCCTTTTTACACAGTCTGTTGCTTTCGTGCAGTCCCTAACAAACCACAAACACTGAGACCTCCTACGCCATGCAACGCTTCGAATTCTCCGCCTTTGAACCAGGACCATGAAGCCCTAGACCCTTCAGGTGGCACCTTGAAAGCATTGCTGATCGAGAAGCCCATTTGCCACGACCTTCAGAGCGCAAACTCGATCGCAAGGGGCATGACTTTGCTTTGATTGTCACATGAGGACCATTATACGGTACAGTCCCAGACCTTGGCCGGCTCGCTGCGGTTCTTGGTGCTGGTGCTAGATGTATGTGTTGTTCTGGTAGTTATCGTTATCGTTTGTGGCTTTTGTGATCATGGAGGATGCTGTTGCTCTTATTCTCAGTGTTCGTACAAAGTCTTTCCGTCACGTTGGATGCTGTTACGAGCTGTAGGGGCTCTTCGAATTGGAGCTCCCCATAAGGCACCTTCTTTGAGAGGAGTTCCTGAGCAACCCTTGAAAATGGACCTGAAGCGAGAGATCCATTCATTGCCCGTTTCCTTGCTTATCCTTCATGAGCTGACGGCCGCTATCATGGTCTGACAAGCATGGCATGCTGTTCGTGGAGTAGGCCGCTTGCAATGTGTTTCCGTCGTGCAAGCTAATCGGATCCTTAGCGTGATTCACAGTGCGTTTCCAAAGCTCCGCAGATGAAGTGAGGAGGATGTGAAGAAGAAGACTGGTGCATCACTTGCAGTTTAAGGTCGTACTGTAGATGTGAAGGATGGCGATGCAGTCGGATGACGGCACACCCTGCCATGAGGACGAGTGCAACCAAATGAATGCATGCAAATGTGCAAAGCCTGCGAAATAAAGATGTAGAGACATAGCCCCGTAAACGGAACCAGTCAGCGGCCGTGTTGTCGTCCGGTCGCCAGCATGATACGCATACAAGTACATGTGAGAAGAGGCATCTATGTTCGGGCTAGCTTGCGGTTATGTAAAGCATATTTTCAGAAGTGGCATAGCTGTCCACTCGAGGCAGCAGAGCTTCTCAGCAGCTTGGCTTTAAGTTTGTGCCAGGCCTGCTTCCTTCTTGGACCTTTGGGTTGGTACATGTTGATGTAGAGCTTAATGTTTTCGAGCCGGCTGTCTTTCGCTGCTGGAACTTTCAATATGTTGATTTTGAAATTCGGAAGTCGGAAGTGAATCAGGTACTTGAGAGGCTTGTGGTTTTTCGGCAGGCATGGAACTGCCTTCTTCATCAGCGTTTGTTTCAGATGGCGCGCCTACACAAACTCCCACGCTTTCTTAGGGACACAAACTCCCACGCTTCCACAGGGATTGCAAGTTGAAGTTGGCGACAGCTCACATCCCCCAACCCCAGAGCTTGTATCACGGCTCCCAAGCTCCATCGCGAGGTGTTACAGACTCGGCGGGTGTGGTGGTCCTCGTTGGCCACCAGCGCCGCCACTCACGGCTTGTGAAGCGAGCGCGTCAGGTGGTTACGGCCCATGGATCGAACAGAAGCGGGAAGGAATGGTTTATTCAGTTAATAAGATGACTGCAGTGCTGCATCCTTGCGGCATCCTGTACGTATCATATGGCGATGTCATATGTGTCATTGAAACATAGAACACTGGCACAGCTGCGATTCTGGCTGGCCGTTTGTGACGAGCACCAACTTTCCGAATCGCAGGGCCACTGGGGTTTGTCAATGCGTGACCGTAAGTGCTTCGAGAAAGTTCTGATCAGCCGTTCATCGCAAAGGTAGTGAGGGCTCAGATGCAAGGGACGTGAAACACATGAGACAATTTCTACGCACATCTGCTGACCCGCGATGTATGCATGTATGTGTTTGTTGCAATGCAGAGCCATGCAGAGTCTGTTAACTACATGTGTGCGAGTCTGTTCCCTGTGCAGAGCTCCCTAATCATCACTACCATCCTGCCCTAAGGATCAGGACTTCGGGCCTCTACGTGGTGTGAATATGGCCGCCGGTCTTCACTATCGGGACCTTGATGTGAGATAGGTTCTGACTCTCGGCATAGGTGGGTCGCAGAGCATCCTGCACAATGCAACACTTCACAGCGGTGCCACACACGGCAGCCCATTGAAGCTTTCCGGCTTTCTCAACAGCAGTGGCTGATCGCCGACATATTGCCTTTCGTGTGCCGAGGAGTTCTCATTGCTGAAACCCGATTCCTACTTCTGCAAAGACGACCCGGCGCTGGAGTGGCGAAGACGGAAGGTGACGGCTCCACAAAACGACAAACGCAGCACCGCCCAAAAAAATATACACCTGTTATGACACAGTACAGTACGTCGACATGTCCGTAGATGTTTATCTACTCTGCTGCATTGATACATGTATACGTATATGTACAAACACACTCACACACCCATATACATATAGCACATCGATATGTATAGAAGGTATACATACATATATACGCACATGTGTATACATACATGTATACGTATGTGGGTATAGGTCGGTTAAGAGCTGGTTTCCAATCCTTCAGGCTTAGACAGGGTTTTCTGTTGCACAGGGTCTCCTGCTACTCATGGTCTTCTGTTGGACAGGGTTTGCCGATACACTGTGACACGAGGTCCAGGGTTTTCTGCAAGGGTTTTGGGAGTTCTGATTTTGGAATGGCTTGGCTTGGTTCGGTCATGTATGTACACAGGCATATGCATGTATATACATATATATATACACATACATACACACACACAGAGACACACACACACACACACACACACACGCACACACCTCTTAAATGTTGAATGTCAAGGCGATAGAACTAGATGTGGAAAGGCACAATTGGGCGGCTAGTCGTGCAGGCTTGACATGAGAAGTCGAAGCAAGCTCTGGTTGTTCATGCTTCCACGGCGTTAGATAAGCTTCGGGGCTTCATGGTTTAGGGCTTGTAGGGTGAGGGATTTGGGGGACTGCAGGGTGTCGGCGGCCCGATCCTGATCAACACGATCCACGACCTGGACCTGATGCGTCACTGGGCCAAGCACCGGTCCCACCCTCACCCTTGAACTGGTATGTCCTAGGTAGTCGGCGAGTTCATAAATCATCGTGAGGGTGCTTCCCTAAACTAGGATCCCTAGTTCAACGCGCCGTTGAGTTGATTGGTTTCGGAGGCCCAGACTGTCGAAGGGGACCACATTCGGCAACTACCTCACGTGATGTCTTCGCAGTGTTACTCGTGAAGTAGAGTACCTGCAGACTGCCTGACTTCTTCCTGCCGCAGAGCATGACATGACATCTCGTTCAAGCGCCAGATGTCCCGAAACTCCAGCCGAGGCTTTATCACTGGCCACGAAATCACCAAAGTCTTTGCCATGACCAGCAGTGCAGCGCGTGGTGAAGAGGCGCTCAGCGGCCATGGTTTCGGAAAGGGGGTGCTTCCTCATCCGGAGCGGTGGGAGTGCATACGTGATCTGGGCATGGCCCCCTTGATGTGGACGTTGCGGCCGAAGGTTTGCCATGACTCGTTTTATGTGCTGCCTCCCCGAAGTGGCTCGGTAGATCAGCCTGCCGAGAGACGACTCCATGTAATTGTCCATATGCATATATATATATATATATATATACATACATGTATCTATCTATCTATCTATAGATACATACATACATACATACAAGGCAACGTCTGGCGTCCAGTAGCCCAGAATCATTTCTGACATGTTGCAAGTCTCCTGGTAGCTGCTCAAGCGGCATTGCCGGAACGCAGGCTAATCTCAGCTAACAAGGCATCGATTGAAGAATGCCGTTATGCTCCTTCGGAAATGACGTGCAGACTTCCACTTCGTCATTTCAGTCCTGTGTCCAGTCTCCACAGTCCACAGTATTTGCGGTCCGATGGAAGGCAACGAATCTGGCTATTCAGACTCTTACGGCTGTGTCTTAGCATGCTGTTGTCATCACATGATGAATCACATGGCACTCGACACAGATGCGAGTGATATTTGGGTCCTTCACTAGTAAGATTTGTCCAGTTCAACAGAAACAGCCATGCAATTATACCTGCGAAGGTCGAAGACTCCGGTGGCATCACAGTGACCTTCGACCATGGCGCTGTAGGCCAGACCAGACTTTCCGATATTGACGCCAGCGTAAGCATTTCACAATTAGTTGCTTCAAGTTCTGTCTGTGCCAACACTGGTTATCAGATTGTGTTTTTGCCAACAGAACTTCCTTCTGCTTTCAGATCGCTTTGAGCAAGCGCCCTCAGAGGAGCAAAGCATCCCAGCCTCACTGTATATGGGATCGGGCAGCTGGAAACCACCACAGGCACCCTCTTCTTTACGGATGCCGCCCCAGCTCCCTGGAGCTATGAGCTGCTCGGGCGCTTCACAGAGTCTAGTTTGGGGCCTTAGGACTTGATTTGTGGGGGTGTTTATTTGGGGTTGTTTCTACGGTTTTGGTTTGAATTGGATCTTACGGAAGTCGCGCCATGTTTGTCTGCTTGTCTACAGAGGAAGGGTCAGAGGAGCAGTCGCGTGATGCCCAGGTGATGAAGTGCGCAGAAAAGCAGGCATACGTTCTCGCAAAAGCTGATTAGCTCCTGCGGCAGGAGTGGTTAATTGCCCTGTGCAGAGGCCCTGAAGCTCATCAAAGCTTGAATGAAGCATCATGAAACATCCTTGGCTTCCGGAGAGCGAGTGGTGGAAAAGTTGCGCGAAACACTCCCGCCTGTTCCAGGCGTGGAGGAGTGAAGATCCTGTTTCCACTGTTCTCGCCAAAAGCAGGTAGGGAACTACACGGAAAGTCGGTTGTGGATCGATACAAATTTGCAATGTTGCAGCCGTTGCCTCTTCAAACCTCTTTTGTCTTCGAAGTTGAAAGTACGAGGCATCCTGAAAGCAGACGAATCGCTCAGCATCAAAACAAGGCAGCGAACCTACGTTCTTGAATCGACTGACGCTACCTCGCAGTAAGCCAATGCCATCCAGGAAGGAGCACTGCACGAACCGGTGACAACCATGGTGGAAGGGTGATTTCAAGCTTAGTCTATTAAAGTGCTCTGCGCAAGTAGCATTTCGGCCGTGGAGTGACTTCGAAACATGAAAAGCATCGGACACAGCTAACATGTCACAGGCAGGCAAACTTCGCTGCCCACTCAGGTTTACCACGGGGGAGAACAAGAAATACCCGCCGGCAGCTTGCATGCACTAGTCACTAGTTTCACTAGTTGGACCAGAGCCGGGTCTCGTCTCTCATCTGTGTAGTTCAAGTGTCATCACGGCTTTGCCTCGGTCGTTCATGATGCTTCTGCGACCCATAGCACAAATCCTTTGCACGAAGCTGCGATGCGGTCGGCAAGGGCCATCGCAGAGTTTCATTTGGGAGGGACCATCGCGTTTGCTAAGCAGACTAGCGCGCAGATTTGCGGCGGTACATCGATGTGGCAGCACTTGTCACAAGAAAAGTCACAAGCGCGACAGTAGGGCCAGCAGCTGCGCCAGTCGTGGCTGCTGGACAGCGACTTCATGTTACAGCTCCTCACGTTATGCTTTGAGGTGCCGGGCAATGATATGCGGGACTGCTATCACTTCATGGGAGCACAGCGCAGCTTGGCAGAAATCCTGACTGGAATCTTGAGCTGAGTTTGTTGTCACTTCGGGCATAATAATCAGCGAGAAGTATCTTAACAACACCCAGCTATGCAAGAAGGCAGGTTCTCGGGTGATGCGTGCCGGCTCAAGTCGGTACTTGTAACACTTGGTCTAAGGCACTTTTCCTGACGTGTTTCCCTCAGGTCAAGATGCAGAACGTTTGGAACAACTTGCCTGTGCGCGTGTGTGTCCAACGCCTTGCCTGTGTCAACCCAAGTGCTGCACAAATCTGGCGCCAACACGATGTGTCGTTCTGGTCAGGCGTCAAGACGGAACAACAACGGGACTGACGTCCAAAAAATCGGAGCCTTCGCTCCGGGATTACATCTCAAAATCTTTAATTCTAAACTTTCCGGCATTGTAGAGACAACCAAGTGCGATGTTTTTCTCGGCAGGCGGCAGCTGCAATTCGTGAGAGAATCTGCCCCTTCCGAACGGGGTGAGGTGAGAGCTGATTTATCAGTGTAGTTGCGTCGGGATACAGAAACTGTAAGACAAGGTTTGCAAAGATCTTCACGGCCAGGCCGCAAATTACATCGACAAAATAGGTTGTTCCCTAAGCAGCAGAGGCCCAGGCGAAGTAGGTCAGATCAATCCTGGCCTCGCAGCTGGAGAGTGGAGACATTTCGTCAGTTTCTATGTGTTGTAGTCAGTCATTGACATGCTCGACGTTCCATATGATTCAGCCAGATGGCACAATTGGCTCTGCTCTATCACTGACGTGCTCAATCATTGCACGGCTCCACGTTAAGACTACTTCACCCTTGTCACTTTTGGTTGTTTCTTTGTACATTTGTTCCTGTCTTGTTTCTTACCAGGGATTCAACATCTGTGAAAACTGCTAGAGTTTCAAAAGCAGCATTGCCACTAGCCACTGCTGTTAGAGACATACAGGCGGCATCCGCTATGCCTTGCTGTGTTGCAATGCTGCGTTCGTACTGATACCCCCCCCCCCCCCCCCATGAGCATGTCCATGCATTCTCAGTCACATACACGCTCAAGGTTCTCTGGGCTTTCCGAGCCTACACGACTTCAGCTATCGTGGCGCAGCCGAGCGTGGCTGGGATGCCCCACTGACGGTGGAGCAGCCCGTGGCCCGGAGCTTACCATGATGCCACGAAAGGCTCATGGGCGTGGTTAGTGCACGTTTCCATCGTAAACCGTTGCCCAGGGCCTTCAGCTTTCGAGTCGGGATGCGAATCTTTTCATTCAGTCGAATGTGATGGAAGTCTGGAGCCAAACCCTCAAAGCCTGCGGAAGAGGCTTTCAACCGTTCACAGACATTGACCAGCACAGATGTCCTCCATCCATTGGTTCGACTCAAGGTTTTTGAGACCAACATGAGGCCCAAGCATTGCAATAGCTTCCGGACCAGCCAGTGCTGCCATCACCCGAACGCAATTGAGCCTACTAAGAACCGCATGTTGTGCTCGACACAGTTCGGAGAATTATCCGGATTTGCTTTTATGTTGCCGCTGCTGCAATGACCTTACAGCCTTACATCCCAAACGGCACACCTCGACCACCCCGACCCCGAACTGAAGTTCCTTAAGGTCCAAACGGAGGCCGGCAGGGGTTGCTTTCCCATGTGTTGGATGTGTTGCTTGATGAACAGGATCTAGGGTTGTCTGGTTTGGGGTTCTGGGTTTCAGGCTCCGGGTCTGGATATGAGTGCAGCAGGGCCCATGAGTTGTCAAACACACTTCTGCAATCAACGTCGCTCTTCTGCGATCGACAATGAAGGATCCGCTCCTTCTGCAGATGAACCATTTCGTCCGAGTTTGTCGAGGACGGTTTGTGCGCCCAACATACATTGTAGGTATTGATCCTTGTATTGCACTGGCAGCTGATCTTGAGCTTCTGCACAAGACTTTTGGAGTCTTCAAGTGCCACGTATGCGAACTGGCGGCTGGGGAATCATGCGGGCCTTGGCCCTGCTGCCAGGAGAAGAGATTCCAGCGCCTTGTCTCGGATGGCCCGCTCTTTTGCGACTTTTCCCTTAATCTCTTATACAAAGGTCTAGGCTAGGGCGGTTTTGGGGCCATTTGTGGTTTTGGCGGTCGCGAGCCGTTTCGAGGTCCGAGAGTTATATTAGGGGGGGGGTCTCGGTGTTTTCATGTGTGTCTGGGCGGTTTTACAGTCCTATGCTCCCCCCGCAACCCGACCTCAACCCTAAACCCTTTAAGTACTATAGTCCCGAAATACTCGAGACCAAAACCCCGTCACTTCAAGATAGTTCACCCAGTAAGCCAGCAGAACCCATGCAAAACAAGCCAAGCCCCATTAAAATCCACAGAAAAGGATCCACAACCCCTCAGAACCAAGCCCTCGCCTCCCAAAATGAGTACTCTCAGGCCCCAGTTAATCCTCTCCTAGGATGACGAAACCGGGGGCCGAATCCACACCCGTGGCCTTCGGCCCCTTAGCCCGAGCGCAGAAGGAGGGTCACCTAAGTAATGACAGTGTCGCAGTATGCAAGGCAAGCGCCGAGTCGTTGCATCTAGGTGTAGGGTAAAGTAAACATGTTGTTGTCGTCGCCGAAGAGAAGTGTAATGGCAGCAAGGGTATTCAGGACTTTCAGCTCCGTAAGCAAGTCCTTGATGCGTACAGCAAACGGCAGAATCAGCTCACGGCACTCATGCTCTTAATTTTCGAGCCTGAGACGATCATCTGAGCGTGCTGCCATGCATGGAGCGGTGTCAGGTGTGCAGTGGACGTGATGCCGTGGAGAGTTTCTTGGGCCTATGGAGGGTTGTTTCTGTACTGTGCCATGTCGCATCTCCGGAAGGCTTTGTTCTGTGAATTCCTTGCAGAGGCTTAGCCGTGGTACTCGCGGTGCAGCGGTCGGCAGAGTGCGGACGTGCTGTGGCCCCCAGTGAGTTGCTGGCGGAGGTGAATAAGGCCACGCGGACGCGGCTTGGGATGTGCATTTTGTTTTCGGTGGAGGGGTTCCTGCTTAGAGGCTTAGGGCCGTCTTTTTCCTTCCGGTGGCTTGACCTGTTCAAACGGAAGCTTCTGCTTGCAAAGCTTCACCAAGATATTTCAACCTCTGCGATACCGTACATCAATCCGAAATGCCCTTCGGCGGAACGGAACCAGAAACTCGGAACTAACGCAGGCCCAAGCTGGATGTCGAATCTTCACGTGGCACGCTCCGCCCTAAACAGATGAGCCCTACCTGGCCGTACCCAAACCCGCCCAACAGCCCTGAACCCCAAAGCCACGAGCCCGACAGGATGCAGTCAGCGCCTGTCGCCTGGACAGCTCGCTGTTGCCCATCTCCAAGGCACAGCGATGGGCCTCGGAGGGTTTATGGTCAAGGTGAAGACCCTCTCGGGAGCCCTGAGCCTCACCCTCTCGTCCTCAGCCTCTCGTCTCCGAAAAAGCGGCCTCCCGGCCTCCCGAGCAGCCAAAGGAAACCTCACCAAGAGACCGAACATTTTGGCTGAGTTGTTTTTTTGGATCTGCAAGCTTGTGGGGGAAGTGGGCAGGAGCCGGCAGCATGCTCTGCAGAGACTACGACGGCCAGGGCTGGCCGAAAGCGGCTGGAAACGGTGACAGAGTCCGACTTGGCTTCGCCACAGTCTGCCTGAACACAAGTTTGCTTCGGCAACCCTTCGAGTCAAACATGCCTCAAACTCGAAGACTGTAGCAGCCGGGGCCAGCTACCCAGGGATGCCGAGCCGACTCCATTGGTTATATTGGTTAGTTTGCTGCAATGAAGTATGCATGGTCATTGGTGACCCCAGCTCGAAACGTGGTGCCGCAGATGGCAGGCTGGTCGCGTTCAGGCTGTGTCGGTTCCTGAAACTTGTCCTGATATGACCTGAGCAACCTGCTTCTCATTGCATAAACCTGTTGCAAACTCGCTACCTGACCAAGACGGGGTCGCACCTGCACCCAGGACCTGCAGGGGATGCACGAGTGTAGCAGTTGGCAGATGTCAACGGGACATTTCAGAGGATGTACTTACTATTACTGTACCTAGCAATTGAAGTCCCAAGTTTTGCCTCCCTTATCAAGGCTGATCATCGTCAGCAACCGAGTTGCTTGAGGCTTCAACCAGCGTTTGCAACGCCTGGCACCACCATCCGGCACTGCGTTTCAAGCCTGTGCGATTTTTCCTACTGCGCTGCGAGCGATTCGCGCATAAGCGTGTCATTCGCCGTGGTGCATTCTTCCCACTGCTTTGCCTAGGGCATTGGAGCTCCAATTCAGTCGATGCCACAGCAGCTCTTAAGCCGTTGCATTCTTGCTGGGCACCGAAATAATTCCCGAACATCATCCTTCCTGATAACGTCTGTGAGGTTTATGAGCTTCTGAAGCATTGTTCAGGCGGGCGGAGAAGACATGATCTTGCAACTTCCAAGCTTGCATACTTCGCTACACGTTTTGTTCGTATCCCAGTATCTCTCGCAAGTTCTGCGTGGCAATTTAGTCCTCATATTCTGACTTGGGAGTCGTTGCCGTTCGGCAATCATGTCAATGTAACGCTTGCTCTGAGTATCACTGCAGAAGCACCATAGCTGGCCATTGACATGATTTGTTGATTGCCTTCCTAGGTTTGCATTGCGCCGACTAGTACTGTACATGTTGTTGTACCTGTTTGTCTCGTTCATTCACTATCCCGATCAGTCGTACCATTAGTTGCACCTGTTATCAAACTGGCATGCGCTGCCCCAAGAGTGACAGCCCGCCTGATGCTGTCTTCCGATCGTTCAAGCGATCTCGAAAGAAATACCAAGGCTCAGAGTTTCGGAGATGCTGTTACAGGACTGTAGAGCCTGCAGGAAGTAGTTAAGCAAGTTGGGCGACTGCGAGATGGAATCGGAAGTGTTGCAAGAGCTTTGGGTGACCACGTGCAATTCCGCCCTTATTGCATCCTTGTCTTTCTTTGTTTCAGTCGCAGTGTTCTGCATTTGAAGATTCGACACACCAGGATCTTCACGCTAGTTTGTTAGAACAGGCAATCGGTGTGACCGTGCCCCTTTATGCACAGCGACTGACTGACAAAGAGAGCCGCCTTGTTTGCTGGGTTTCCAGAAGGCCAGTCCTGTCTCGTTTTCCACCGCCCGGACAAGCCCAGGTTCGGCCTTCGTTCAACGAACGGCCGCGCTGCATACATAGAAATGGAAACAGAGGTGCTATGGTTGCATGTTGTATAGAAGTGGTAGTGACAGTCAAGCAGTTGATAGGACTAGCAAGTAAAGAATCACCTCGCGCCGGTTGAGATGAGGGCCCAGCCGCCCTGCAGGTATCGTTTCATGAGGCCGATGCCAGGGGTTCTCAACGTAGCCCACGTTTCCCCAGCATCAACGGACGAATGAACAGATGATCGCTTCGCTGCCAAAAGTTGCAACTGCTGTCGTGAATGATGCTGTGGTTGAGCACTGCATCACAACTCGACCAATGATAGTTCTGGCAGCGGACTGGTAGCAGAAGTGGCGTTCATGCCGCTGTAGCATTGGTACTGTGACCGCAGCTGCAGTGGCAGTAGTGGGAGTAGCAGCAGTAGTAGCAGGATCGTCGTTCGTGGTTGTCGTAACGGCGAAGTTGCTGGTGGTCGTGGTGGTGGGGCTTGTCATTGTGCTGGTGCCAGTGCTTCAGCTGCTGCCATGGTAGAAGTAGCTGTGCCAGCAGGGCAGCAGCAAGCACTCTGCCGTTCTTAGCTGTGGTGGTCATGCCAGCCATGATGACGACCTTATTTCGCATGGCTGTCACATCATGTTTGCAGTGTCTCGCGGAGAAGAGTGCTCTTGGATAATCTCAAGTTCCCGTGTATGTACCTGTAGTGTTCTCGCGCAACTCATGTATGTATATGTATGTCTTTATGCATATTTACATACATATATATACACATGTATGTACATACATACTCGCAACCGCTTCTTGTCTTGCTTTAGTCCTGGTACGTCTTCTTCTGCCTAGGCCTTGTCCTGGGCTTCAGGAGCAGATCCTCCACTGCGAGCGATTGGTGGAGCCGCTGCTAAACCCGGAAAGTCCGGAGTTCGAGTATGCAGGGCCCTCAGTACCCCGTGCGGGGGTTTCGGATTCTGAGATTGTTTGCCCTAGCGGTAGTTTATAAGGATCTCCAAAACTCAAGGGCAATCCTCGGTTTTTTGGGTGTTAGGGAATTGATGCTCATTTCAGGATTCAGGTTTTGGCGGTATCTTGTTGCCTTGTAAGCATATCTATTGTTTTGATCTGCCGCTTCGGTGTGCACCTCGAGCCTCGACTTGTCGAACCTTCCAGCCACCCTGGCTCCTAGGCTTCGAGCCCCTGCCTGACCCCGTATCCCAAAACATCCACAGGCGCGAACCCACGGCATGCAGCAGCTGGCCATGGTCAATGGCTCTTCTGCGAGTTTGGGTTTGTAAACGCCGGTTTGTTGGCGGTTCGGATCTATTTCAGGTTTTGAACAGGGTATGTTCACAGGACCTGGCTTTTCATAAGAAGCATGAGGGGCAACGAAGGGTCGCAGATAGCAGAGGCGCTACCGCTGCCATCGCAGTGACTGTCATACTGGCAGGTACAAGTATTACATACCAGATAATCTAGCCATCACAGAAGACGAGTATGCGGAAGGGAGGAAGCACACGGCAAAGAATGGTTGAGGGATAGCCATGTTACATCAAGTTGCATCATATGTCAGTTCATCGCCAATGATTAGCAACGGTGGTACTAATGGATTAGTAACTTATGAGATAGAAAGGGCTTACATGAACAACTTGTACGAGTACCAATGGCAGAGCAAACGCATACGTAGAAGGCATGTGTATGTATGTATGTATGTATGTATGTAGGTGTAAATATCTGTATATATATATACATATATTTACTTATTGACATGTGTATACAGAGACAGGACAGATGTACATATGTAATTTTGTATGTATGTATGTATGTATGTATGTATGTATGCATATATATATATATATGTAGATCTATTCGTGCCGGGTTGCTTTGGGTATCATGGAAAGACGGCAACATCACGAGAAGTGCATCTCTCAAACTCAACTGTCTATATCTGCTCGCAAAACCACCTTCGACCTATAGGCAACCAGGGTTGAGTAGTTTTGCCGGAACACGGCAAGATTTGCTCAGTCACGCGTAGATAACCCACCTGTGGCCAAGAGCCGGTCACCTTGACGCTGAAAATGGTCCCGAGACTTCGAAGCCGTTAACTTTGCCAGGCTTCTCCCTGAACAAGGCAGAGCAGCGATGTGGCATTTGCGGAGCTTTGGGTCATCTGGGCTCTGCGCCGGCAATTCAGAGAGATGTTTGTGCATCAAGATTTCAGGCCCAGCAGTTGGGTTAGAATGCGCAGCATCGGTGAGTGTTGAGGAGAGTATTCTTTGGATGGATGAGATGCATTTGGAGATTAAGCGTGGAGCATATTCCATTCATTCATGCGGAAGGCCACTGCGGAAGGTCTTGTAGCCCTCATAGACGAGATCGAAGGGGGTTGGATTGGACTGGCATCTGTGTACCCTCGCACCAAGCAACATGGGTGGGTTGTGGGATCAGTGATGTCTGACAGTGAGTGGTTCCACGCCATCATCCCGCTGAAGCTTGCAATTCGGACATGTGCATCGGAATCCTCCATGCTTTGCTCGCCCAGGCTTCGAGTGTCCCGAGACCAACAACCAGAATTACAAGATGGCGAATGCGACGACCTTGGCCTGGCCAAGTCTCTCCCTGTGTCCGATCTTGTGTGTGTGTATGCCTCTACAGTACCTATATGTACATGCTGTGACGTATATGGAACACGGACATGTGTACGGACGTACTCTCTACGTAGACTCTACGTCCTCTTTCATATATCTACCCGTATGGCATATTGCGAGAATGCAGTACAGAAACATGGAGGCAATAAGGACTGTTTTCCCAGGCCGTTTTGAATATAAGCTGGTGACAGAGGCAAGCCTGTGTGGTTAGGGCATGACGCTTTCAAGTCGAATCAGATGGCTACTTCGCAACAGTCGTTTCTCGCACCCGGACAGGGGTCGTGCTAGTCAGTGTCATTTACTGTCGGGTTGGTTGATGCAGAACGAAGCGTTAGGCAGGGTTTATTATGTGCCAGCATGATACCATCAATCAGGAAATTATCATCCTCAAATCTGTCGAGGTGACCTGTACCATCTGTGGTGACAAGGGCCACGTTGCGCCACTCCGCGGCATTGTGGCATTCCTAAAAGGCGTCTTGAGGGGCTGGGCTAGTGATTGAACGATTGGCAGAGAGGGCCAGAGGGAAGTGCATTCCATATTCCATGGCCAGTTCGGTTCTAAGCGCAATCAACAGGATTACGCTCTTCAACAGATCCAGCTTTCAGACTATCTTCCGGGAAACCATCAGCTGGTCTCCGCTTCTTCGGAAAGTCAGGTCGGATTGTAAGAAGGCCGCAGAGATCAACAAGCGCGAGAATGTGGACTGGAAGGTGGGGTAGCACTGCAGATTCACCGCAGGGCTTTGTCTTTTCTTTATGAGCTTTCTATGTTGCTAACACCCTTGGAGGGTCGTGAGCTGTTTCGATCTTACACCTGCGATTGCAACTTCCGTGCTCAGTGCAGGCCATGGCAGAGAAGAAGGCAC